ATTGACAAATATATCATCAAACAAATGAAAAACTGAAAAATCAACAGAAAAATCGAAAATCCGGAAACTAAAACGTCGAAAACTTTAGGAACCGAAAAATTGAAAAAAAAATTGATAAGTCGAAAAACAAAAATTCGAAAAATCTTAAACCGAAAGTAGAAAATTCAAAAATTGGAAAAATTGAGGGACAGAAATATCAAAAAATTGAAGAATCAAAAATTTGATAAACCCAGAAATCAAAAAATTAATAAATGGAGAAACGAAAAATTCTAAAAACCAAAATACTCCAAAACTGAAACATCGAAAAATCGAGAAGCCTAAAAATCCATTAACCGAGAAAGCGAGAATTCGAAAAATGGAAAAATTGAAGAATAAAAAATTTAAAAATACCAAAAATCTGAAAATTAAAAAATGCAAAAATTTACAAATCGAAAAACCGGAAAACCCAGAAATCGAAAAATCACATAATTGAACAATCAAAATATCGATCTGGTGATAAATCGAAAAATCGAAAAAGTTAAATTTAAAAAATCAAAATTCAAATGTCGAAAAATCGAAAATTCGTAAATTGGTTAAATTGAAATAGGAAAAACAAAAAGTCGAATTGACAAATATAACATCGAACAATTGAAAAACTGAAAAATCGAGAACAGAAAAATCGAAAATCCCGAAACTAAAACGTCGAAAACTTTAGGAACCGAAAAACTGAAAAAAACAGAAATTGAATAGTCAAAAAATAAAAAATCGAAAATATAAAACCGAAAGTCAAAAATTCAAAAATTGGAAAAATTGTGGGGCAGAAATATCAATAAATTGAAGAATCAAAAATTTGATAAACCCTGAAATCAAAAATTTAATAAATGGAGAAACGAAAAAGTCTAAAAATCAAAATACTCATTACTGAAATATGGAAAAATCGAGAAGTCTAAAAATCAATTAACCGAGGAAGCGAGAATTCGAAAAATGGAAAAATTGGAGAATAAAAAATTGAAAAATACCAAAATTCTGGAAAATGCAAAAATTTAGAAATCGAAAAACCGAAAAACCCAGAAATCGAAAAATCACATAATTGAACAATCGAAATATCGAAATGGTGAAAAATCAAAAAAGTTAAATTTAATAAATCGAAATTCAATGTCGAAAAATCGAAAATTCGAAAAATGGAAAAATTGAAATAGGAAAATCGAAAAGTCGAGTGGACAAATATAACATCGAACAATTGAAAACCTGAAAAATCGAGAAACAGAAAATTCGAAAATCGCGAAACTTAAACGTCGAAAACTTTAGGAACCGAAAAACTGAAAAAAACAGAAATTGAAAAGTCGAAAAATAAAAAATCTAAAAATCTAAAACCGAAAGTCGAAAATTCAAAAATTCGAAAAACTGAAAAAAAAGAAAAATTTAGGGACGGAAATATTAATAAATTGAAGAATCAAAAATTTGAAAAATCCAGAAATCAAAAAATTAATAATGGAGAAACGAAAAAGTCTAAAAACCAAAATACTCCAAAACCGGAACTTCGAAAAATCGAGGAGTCTAAAAATCGATTAACTTAGAAAGCGAGAATTCGAAAAATGCTAAATTTGAAGAATAAAAGATTGAAAAATTACAAAAATCTGAAAATTGGAAAATGCAAAAATTTAAAAATTGAAAAACCGGAAAACCCAGAATTCGAAAAATCACATAATTGAACAATCGAAATATCGAACTGGTGATAAATCGAAAAATCGAAAAAGTTAAATTTAAAAAATCGAAATTCAATTGTCGAAAAATCGTAAATTTGAAAAATGGAAAAATTGAAAAAAGGAAATCAAAAAGTCGAATTGACAAATATAACATCAAACAAATGAAAAACTGAAAAATCGAGAAACAGAAAAATTGAAAATCCCGAAACTAAAACGTCGAAAACTTTAGGAACCGAAAAACTGAGAAAACAGACACTGAAAAGTCAAAAAATAAAAAATCGATAAGTCTAAATCCGAAGGTCGAAATTTCAAAAATTCTAAAAATTGAAAACAAGAAAAATTGAGGGACAGAAATACCAATAAATTGAAGAATCAAAAATTTGATAAACCCAGAAATCAAAAAATTAATAAATGCAGAAACGAAATAGTCTAAAAATCAAAACACTCCAAAACTGAAGCATCGAAAAATCGAGAAGTCTAAAAATCCATTAATCGAGAAAGCGAGAACTCGAAAAATGGGAAAATTGAAGAATAAAAAATTGAAAAATTCCAAAAATTTGAAAATTGGAAAATGCAAAAATTTAAAAATCGAAAAACCGGAAAACCCAGAAATCGAAAAATCACATAATTGAACAATCAAAATATCGATCTGGTGATAAATCGAAAAATCGAAAAAGTTAAATTTAAAAAATCGAAATTCAATTGTCGAAAAATCGTAAATTTGAAAAATGGAAAAATTGAAAAAAGGAAATCAAAAAGTCGAATTGACAAATATAACATCGAACAACTGAAAAACTGAAAAATCGAAAATCCCGAAATTAAAACGTCGAAAACGATAGGAACTGAAAAACTGAAAAAACCAGAAATTGAAAAGTCGAAAAATATAAGATCGAAAGTTGAAAATTCAAAAATTGACAAAATTGAGGGACAAAAATATCAATAAATTGAAGAATCAAAAATTTGATAAACCCAGAAATGAAAAAATTAATAAATGGAGAAACGAAAAATTCTAAAAACCAAAATACTCCAAAACTGAAGCATCGAAAAATCGAGAAGTCTAAAAATCCATTAACCATGAAAGCGAGAATTCGAAAAATGGAAAAATTGAAGAACAAAAAATTGAAAAATTCCAAAAATCCGAAAATTGGAAAATGCAAAAATTTAAAAATCGAAAATCCGGAAAACCCAGAAATCGAAAAATCACATAATTGAACAATCGAAATATCGAGGTGGTGATAAATCGAAAAATCGAAGAAGTTAAATTTAAAAAATCGAAATTCAATGTCGAAAAATCGAAAATTCGAAAAATGGAAAAATTGAAATAGGAAAATCAAAAAGTCGAATTGACAAATATAACATCGAACAATTGAAAACCTGAAAAATCGAGAAACAGAAAAATCGAAAATCCCGAAACTAAAACGTCGAAAACTTTAGAAACTGAAAAACTGAAAAAACCAGACATTGAAAAGTCGAAAAATAAAAAATCGAATAATCTAAAACCGAAAGTCGAATATTCAAAAATGCAAATAATTGGAAAAAAGAAAACTTGATAGACAGAAATATCAATAAATTGGAGAATCAAAAATTTGATAAACCCAGAAATCAAAAAATTAATAAATGGAGAAACAAAAAAGTCTAAAAACCAAAACACTCCAAAACTGAAACTTCGAAAAATCGAGAAGTCTAAAAATCCATTAACCGAGAAAGCAAGAATTCAAAAAATGGAAAAATTGAAGAATAAAAAATTGAAAAATACCAAAAATCTGAAAATTGGAAAATACAAAAATTTAAAAATCGAATATCCGGAAAACCCAGAAATCGAAAAATCACATAATTGAACAATCAAAATATCGAACTGGTGATAATCGAAAAATCGAAAAAGTTAAATTTAAAAAATCAAAATTCAAATTTCGAAAAATCGAAAATTCGAAAATTGGATAAATTGAAATAGGAAAAACAAAAAGTCGAATTGACAAATATAACATCGAACAATTGAAAAACTGAAAAATCGAGAAACGGAAAAATCGAAAATCCCGAAACTAAATCGTCGAAAACTTTAGGAACCGAAAAACTGAAAAAATAGGAATTGAAAAGTCGAAAAACAAAAATTCGAAAAATCTAAAACCGAAAGTCGAAAATTCAAAAATTGGAAAAATCGAGGGACAGAAATATCAATAAATTGAAGAATAAAAAATTTGATAAACTCGGAAATCAAAAAATTAATAAATGGAGAAACGAAAAACTCTAAAAATCAAAATACTCCAAAACTGAAACTTCGAAAAATCGCGTAGTCTAAAAATCCATTAACCGAGAAAGCGAGAATTCGAAAAATGGAAAAATTGAAGAATAAAAAATTGAAAAATTCCAAAATCTGAAAATTGGAAAATACAAAAATTTAAAAATCGAAAAGTTGGAAAACCCAGAAATCGAAAAACACATAATGGAACAATCAAAATATCGAAGTGGTGATAAATCGAAAAATCAAAAAAGTTAAATTTAAAAAATCGAAATTCAATTGTGGAAAAATCGAAAATTCGAAAAATGGAAAAATTGAAATAGGAAAAACAAAAAGTCGAATTGACAAATATAACATCGAACAATTGAAAAACTGAAAAATCGAGAAACATAAAAATCGAAAATCCCGAAACTTAAACGTCGAAAACTTTAGGAACCGAAAAACTGAAAAAAACAGAAATTGAAAAGTCGAAAAATAAAAAATCTAAAAATCTAAAACCGAAAGTCGAAAATTCAAAAATTGGAAAAATTGAGGAACAGAAAAATTAATAAATTGAAGAATCAAAAATTTGATAAACCCAGATCTCAAAAAATTAATAAATGGAAAAACGAATAAGTCTAAAATTCAAAACACTCCAAAACTGAAACATCGAAAAATCGAGAAGTCTAAAAATCCATTAAGCGAGAAAGCGAGAATTCGAAAAATTGAAAAATTCCAAAAATCTGAAAATTGGAAAATGCAAAAATTTAAAAATCGAAAAACCGGAAAACCCAGAAATCGAAAAATCACATAATTGAACAATCAAAATATCGAACTGGTGATAAATCGAAAAATCGAAAAAGTTAAATTTAAAAAATCGAAATTCAAATGTCGAAAAATCGAAAATTCGAAAAATGGAAAAATAGAAACAGGGAAATCAAAAAGTCGAATTGACAAATATAACAAGAATATCGAGAGGTCGAAGATCTTTAAAAAACTCAGAAGCAGACACGTTTTCTGACAATTATACTTTATTTACAATTAACAGCTTCTACAAACGCAATCATATCATAAAAGCATTACAAAAACCATAAGAAAACTTTAACTACTATACACCACAAACAACAATTCGCTACATATGAAAGTTTAACAATAAAAACAAATAAAATTACTTTAAACGTATCTATGTATCAAATACAAAAAAATAAACGTGTATAATACCCTGAGAATCAACTCCAAAAGTAAATGTATCTGGACAACCGAATGTAAATGTATGCGACGTAGGCAAAACAAACGTTTAATGCGTCCGACATATAAACGTGTTTTCTCTACCAAGATGAAGGTAGACGGCGCGAACTTGTTGAAGTTTTTTTTCCAGATACAATATACCGTATTGATACGCACCACCGTTCTTTGTATTTTTTAAAAGTACGTTATTGTTTTTTAAGATTCCTTAGATGGGGACGGTCTGATCTTCATCGTCACCGCCAGGGAGCAGGTTACCGTGCTAGTCGACAAACCTATGCAGTTCCCCGTAAGGCTGTCGGGACCGCAGCCTGGGCCCCACCATCCCCATTTTTCAACATAATCTTCGCATTCGAGTTCGTGTTTATCCTCCGTGCCAAATTTCATTCCAATATAAAATTTCATGGGGTCCGAAGGGTTACCATCACCCTCATTGTACCCAGTTAACATATGTAAATCATAATAGCTCGCTCTATTGCCGATCATGAAGTTCTGGTAACGGATGTATTTCGTGACGTGCCCCTGGTCGACGAGTTCGATGTGGAGCTCGTTCATACTATAGCCTAAAAAAATATGGATACTGTAGGTACTAATAGAGAAATATCATGCGAATTTTTGCGCAATTTTTGAAAATCGGAAGGAACAATTACGTGCAAAGTGATAATTATAACCATTTAGGTTAAATTCATTGTTAGTACTTTGATAAAGAAAAAAGCAACCTTGGAACATCTCCAATTTCTTTACCCAAGTCAAAAAATAAAAAAAATATCTTTTAAAAAATAAATGCAAAGTGGAAATTGCTGGTCTTTTACCTGCTAACTGGTAAATATTTTCTAATCCTAACCAAAACTCCTTTCTCAGATCGCCAAAACCGAACTCGAAGCTGTCCCAATCTCTGGCAAAACTTGAGCCTTTCGGATCTCTGTTCATAATGACAGTCCAACCCCCTCCATCATGTTCCAAGTCGCATTTAACTTGGAAGGGTCGATCAGCAAATTCGGGTTGTATTACGTAAAAGGAGTCCCTATGGTGTGTCTTGTTAACGTCTGTGCAGTGTTGTGGATAGCTTCTATCAAGCATTTTAACATCGTCACCGTTTAACGAAAAACATTGAAAGGAAGCTAAAAAACCAACAACAAAAAGAACTCGGGATAACATTGTTGAACGCGGCAGCAAGCGTTTCTGTGCACTACCTGGAGGAGACTAATAAAATAGTACCTGGATTGGAGACTAGTCGCTGTTCATTGTTGATATGAAGCGGAACAACGACGTACACGTTACCGCCGCACCACATCTAGTAGTAGGGGAACGAGGGGCTTGTTGTAACAGGGGTAAGTTGTAACACTAAATTTTTTCCCAGAATTTACACTCTTTAACGTCAGGTTTTTTACTGAATTTAATTTTTGCACCATAAGACATCATGTCATCACAACCACTGTTCCTTCAACCAACGCAGTGAGTGGATGTGTGCACGTGCTTCGTTTTGGCCAAGTAATGTAAAATATTGCTTTAGTAAAATTTGGTTTTTCGTATCAGTTATTAATTAATTTAAAACGTTTAGTTTTGCATGTAGCTCAAAAATTACTCAACTTTAATATTCCTTACACATTTTGACGCTAAGCCACATAATTTTGTCGAAATGTAATTAAATGTAGAAAATTGTACTACGGGGCATGTTGTAACAATACGCTTGGGGCAAGTTGTAACATGTTACAACTTATCCCAAATTCACTTCTACAAATTTCTTACCTAGCATACGAAAAGCGAGCCAAAATTTTGACCTATGCCATATATTGCTTTCCAGATATATTAAGAAAAAGGAAGACAAAACTCAAATCTTTAATGTTGACTCTTCTTCTAACAGTTTAGTTCAGTTTTACTGAAAAAAAATTGTATATAATGAAGTGTTGTGTTGATTTTTGAAAAATAAAGTCTAAATATGTATCAACATCAGCTTTATTTTTACTGGTACTACCTGTCTCATGGCTGTTACAACTAGCCCCAACCACGGGGCAAGTTGTAACACTGCACTTTTTTTAAGAAAATGCCTGGTGTGAAGTGAAGATGAAAAATTTTGACCTTTTGTCTGTTCAGTCCAATAGGGGAATAGTTAGACTACCGATAGATACTTTTATAATGGTCAAACAGCTAATAGATACCAAATTATATTCGTTTTCCTAAAAACTGTTACAACAAGCCCCTCGTTCCCCTACGATAACTAGTGAAACCAAAAAAATTCTCCGCTTCATTGAAAAATTAAAAAAAGATCTAAGTAGTTACCTCACACTCAAGACGGTGACAGGATAACGAAAAAAAGGTTAAATGTGAGCCCCGCCCACCCGCCCTGATCTCACTCGTGATGATTTTCATTCGTTGTCAGACCGATTTTTTTTATTTTACAATTTTTCGATTTTTCTATTTACAATTTTTCTTTTTTTCGATATGCAGTTTTCCGAGTTTTCGTTTTTAAATTTTTCTATTTTTCTATTTTCCAACTATTAGATTTTTTAATTTATCGTAATGGTAATTTTCAAAATGTCTCATTTTTTCAAATTTCCGATGTTTAATTTTTCGATTTTTCTACTTTTCGAATAACAACACTACGCATATTAAGAAAATTAGTTAAAATATTAGCCCCGCCCATCCGCCCTGATTTCAATTGCGATGAGTTTTTCATTCGTTGTCAGACTTAGAGGCGGGGCGTAACTGCAAAATCAATATTTCCATACAACAATTTAACTGAGATTTTCCGTTTCAGATTTTCATTTTCGTTATTTTTCTCAATTATCCGATTTTTCAATGTTTAGATTCTATATTTTTTTTCAATTTTTATTTTCCTTATTTCTTCAATTTTTAATTTTGTAATTTTCCGATTTACATTTTTTGGGTTTTCTATTTTTTGATTACTCCACTTATCACTTATCGAATAAAAAATGAGAAAGCTGCGAAATTGTAAAATACAAAAATCAAAAATAAAACCGAAACATTGAGAAATGAAAGACAATTTGCAAATTTTCGAATTTTTAACTCTTCGATTTTTTAATTTTTTATATTTTCAATTTTAGAATTTCAGTTTCATGATTTTTAGTTTAGTTTAGTAAGTTTAGTTTTCAATTTTTCGTTTTTTCAATTTTTAGCATCGGTTTTTTATTAATTTTTAAACAATTCTTCGATTTGCCAATGTTCCGATTTTGTAATTTTTCCTTTTTTCAATTTTTCGTTTTTTTTAATTATTCAATTTTAGGACATGAAACTGTCCGAGTTTTCATTTTGAAATTTTCCAGTTTCTGGATTTTCCAACTTTTTTTAAAGCTTCAATTTGTATGGTTTGCAATTGTTCATTTGCATTTTCACGAGTTTTCAATTTTAAATTTTAATTTTTCAATTTTTAAAGTTTCGTTTCTTCAATTTTTGGATTTGCAGTTGTTCGTTTCTGTCTATTTTCTTTATTTTTGCAATTTTTCGATTTCCAATTTTTTCAATTTCTCTATTTTTCAGTGTTTACAGTTATTCGATTTTTGTATGTTTTTTCGATTTTACAATTTTTCTATTTTCAGTTTTTCGTTTTTTTTTTCACATTTTCGATTTTTCAATATTCTCCAATTTTTTAGTTTTTCGATTTTCCAACTTTTGAATGTTTAAATTTTTAGATTCTGCAATTTTCAGCTTGCATTTTCACGAGTTATCATTTTTAAATTTTCCAGTTGTTCGATTTTAGAACTTTTAGATGTTTTAATTTTAATTTTGCAGTTTTCCAATTTGCAGTTTCAGGAGTTTTCAAATTTTAATTTTTTAATTGTTCCTGTCTTCAGTTTTTCGATTTGACATTTTTCATTTTGGTTTTTAATTTTCTTTTTTTCCAATTTTTCAGTTTTTCAATATTCTGATTTTAATGTTTCATTTTTCACTGCGAAATTCTTCAATTTTTGGATTTTTCAATTCTTAGATTTTTTAATACTTTGTATTTTCAATTTTAGATTTTTAGTTGTCAATTTTTGGTTTTCGACTTTCCGTTTCGGTTTTTAATTTTTTTCATTTTTACAATTTTCCGATTTTCAATGTTGTCATTTTATAATTTTTCCTTTTTTCAGTTTTTCGGTTCTCCAATTTTTCGATTTGCTATTTTTCAATTTTTCATTTATTTCTGTTTCTTCAATCTGACAATATTGCAACTCTTTGAGTTTTTAAAATTTTCCAGTTTTTCGATTTTCAATTTTTTCAGTTTCTCGATTTTTCGGTGTCTACAGTTATTCAATTTTTCTATATTTTTTCGATTTTACAATTTTTCGCTTTTCAATTTTTCGTTTTTTTTCACATTTTCGATTTTTCAATATTCTCAAATTTTTTAGTTTTTCGATTTTCCAACTTTTGAATGTTTCAATTTTTGGTTTTTGCAATTTTTTAGTTTGCAATTTCACAAGTTATCTATTTTTAATTTTCCAGTTTTTTGATTTTAGAACTTTTAGATGTTTCAATTTTTATTTAGCAGTTTTCCAATTTGCAGTTTCACGAGTTTTCAAATATTAATTTTTTAAATTTTCGTGTCTTCAATTTTTCGATTTGTAATTTTTCATTTTGGTTTTTAATATTCTTTTTTCCAATTTTTCGGTTTTTCAGTATTCTGATTTTAAAATTTTTCATTTTTCACTGCGAAATTCTTCAATTTTTGGATTTTTCACTTATCGAAAAAAAATGAGAAAGCTGCGAAATTGTAAAATACAAAAATCAAAAATAAAAACTTGAAAATGGAAAAAGTCTGTGTTGAAGAAACGAAAAATCGTTAAACCGAAACATTGAAAAATGAAAGACAATTAAAGAACGAAAGATTAATAACTGAGAACCTGAAAAATAGAAAAATGAAAGATTGTGAGATGGAAAAATTGCAAATCAGAAAATTGAAAACTAAAAAAACTTGATGAAATTAAAGTTGAAAAAACAAAAAATTGGAAACCGAAACATTGAAAAATGACGAAAAATTGATCGAAGGTAAATAAATTAAGATTTTTTGAAAAATTATAAATAAAGAGTCATAGACATTACTGTTTAGATTATTATAGTCTTTATGTTTTGCATATTTCAGAGAGGATTTATTAGGCAAAATTTTGAAACGACGTCATCAATTTTTTGGAGGGGATAAACGAATAAGTTTTGAGTTCGTCACGATTCATTCATAAAACAAATAAAACTAGTCCACGTAAACATCGTGTATTGACTACTGATATAGGTACAACATAAATAACATAGCAAATTTAAAATCTAAGAATAAATCCATACTAGCCTTAAGGTTCCTTTCGCTCGGGCATTGGCTGCTTATAATACTTTGGTAATTTAAGTTCCTGTGCTGCCGTTCTGATCATTATGCTCGCCTCCTTGAGTCGGATGTTTCTTCTGTGAGCATCATCGTTGCCTATTGACTCTTGGAGGTACACTCCGGTAGGGAGGCCACATGGTGTGCAGTTCCGGAACCACCAGCCCGCCTCGAAAATTTCGGCGCAGTTGTGCGTACTGTTCAGGTCTTGGTCCTTGTCTATGGTGCTAAATTTCATTCCACCCGCAAGGCTCATGCAGTCTGTGGCATCAAAAATGACGGGGTCTAGCAGATGTAAAACATAACCGCTCTTCTCGTCGCCGATGCCGAAGGAGGTGTAAAGGTCTCTGCGCTGGTCCTCGCCCTCAAAAGTAAGTTCGACACGGAGCTCGTTAATTTCTAAGGCTGAAAAAATGGACCCTATATTAAGGCTCTACCACACCTCAAGAAAATTTCTATTTTAAAAGATATGCAACTTGTAAAACACCCATGCTACCTCGTTATGACAGCTGCCACTCATCTCTAAGGGTTAAAATCGTTCACTTCGTTTACAATACTTAACTAGTTTTATTACTGCTATTTTCTCCTGGTTATCAAGTATTTCGCAGTGATAGGCCAACTAGAGGTGGAGGTGTACTAATTGCCGTGAAAGATACATACTCATGTACAATCGCACGCAAATGTTTTGACCCTATGGGCGGATCGTTTTTGCTTGCCCTCACCGAAGAAGGCGGTCCAAATCCTTCAAGGGCAGAATTTGTAGGTAGGCTCAAACTACAACGAAATTCACATTTTACCCTATAAAATTTTATTGACAATAACGGGACGGACAGTAGTTATATATACATTTGGTAAGAAATATTTATGACTCACACCAGTTCTCTCGAATTTCAACCAGTCGTTCCGTGTAAAAAATGTCATCACTTTTTCAAATAAAATACTCTTAAAAAGAAAACGATATTGTCGTTGAGTGACATGTAACTGACATAATAATAAAAACGTGCCATTTTTGTTAACTGATATTTTTTTCATAAATGTCGCAAAATTATTAAATTTGTCTAATCATCCCCACCAATAATGTGATGACATCACTGCAAATTTATACATAGTAAATGGGTTTTAAATTGTATACAGTAACATAGTCCTACACATGTAGTTTATGACTCCGTGTTGAGTTTTTATCCGAAACGTCCAGATTTTTGGAAAAAAAATTAAATTTATAAAACTATATTTTGCAATTTAATTTTGAATTTGCTAAATCGAATACTTTGAAATCTTGCAGATGTTTTAAAATCATGATAAACATGATACATTTTTAATTAAAATATATTTGCTTATCCCCTCTAAAAAATTTATGACGTCACCTCAAAATTTTGCAGAATAAATCCTATCTTAAATGTATAAAATACGATGAGTTTTATACTTGTGATTTATCACTGCATTAATATTTTTTAGATTTGGTTATACAGGGTGTCTCAAAAAAGTTAATGACTGACTCAATTTATTTTATTGAAGAAATCAAGAATGGCAAAACTGAATAATTTGTAATATTGTAGATGTTTTGAAGTTTTTGTAAGCATGGTAACTTTTTCGAAAATTTGATTAATCAAATATGCGCAAAATCAAAAATCGGAAAAACTGAAATTCACTAATGCAAAAAACAGAAAATCGAAAAATACAGATCGTAAAAATCGAAAATCTAAAAATGGCTAATCAAAAAATCGAAAATTCAATGAATCAAATACCTAGGTCGATCGAAAAGTGGAAATTCACAAACCTCAAAAATCGAAAAATCGAAAATTGAAAAACGGGAAAACCAAAAAATCGAAAAGTAAAAAATTTGTAATATTGAAAATAAAAAAAATCAAAAACAAAAATTATAAAATCGGAAATTAAAATAATCAAAATATATAAAGTAAAAAAATTGCAAACTGAAACGAACAGAAAAATCGAATAAGCAAAAAATTGGAAAAACAAAAATTCGAAAAATCTAAAATCGAAAAAGTGGAAAATCGAAAATCTGAATAAAGAAACTTGGAAATTCTGAAAATTGGAAAATCGAAAACCAAAAAATCGGAAAGTAACAAAATTGAGGTCTAACAGTTGAGAATGGAAAAATTGAAAAACCGAAAATTCCAAAAGTCGACAATGGACAAATTGAAAATCGCAAAATTTAAATTGAAAAATTGAACACTGAAAAATCGATGAATTGAAAAATCGAAAATTCGACTACTCAAATTTTCTAAAAATCGAAAAATCATAAAACTGAAAAATCCAAAATTCTAATCATCGAAAGTCTGAAAACTGAAAATCGAAAATTCTGAAAAGCGGAAAATAGAATAACGAAAAATTTAAAAGAAAGAAAATTGAAGTCTAAAAACCGAAGAATGGAAAAATTAAAAATAAAAAATTTGAAAAATCAAAACCGAAAAATTCAAAGATTTAAAAAGAAAATCGAAAAATCAAAAATCTGAAAATTGAAACTCGAAAATTTGGAAAATCGAAAAGTAAAAAAATTGAAGTCTAAAAGCTGAGAAATGGAAAAATCGAAAATTTGATAAATCAGATATGCGAAAAACAGAAAATCTGAAAATACAAAACTGGAAAATCAAAAATCTAAAAATGGAAAAACCGAAAATCGAAAATTCAATGAATCTAATACGTAGGTCGATCGAAAAACTGGAAATTCACAAATCTGAAAAATCGAAAATTTGCAAGATTGAAAAACCGAGAATTGAAAAATCAGAAAACCGAAAAATGGAAAAATCAAAAATCGAAAAATGGGAAAACCGAAAATTCGAAAATTCATAATATTGAAAACTCTAAAAGTCGACAATTCAAAAATCAAAAAACTGGAAAAAAATAATCGAAAAATCGAAAAGTAAACAAATTGCAAAGCCTAAAACCTGACGAACAGAAAAATCGAAAAATCGTAAAATCAAAAAGTGGAAAATCGAAAACTGGAAATTGAAAAATCGAAGACTGGAAAATCGAAAAATCGAAAATCGGAATATCGAGAATCCACAAATTAAAAAACCGAAAAATCGAAAAATTAAAAAATCGGAAAACGAAAAATTAAAAAAAAACGAAAATTCAAAAATCGAATAATCCGAAACTAAAATAAGAGAAAAGTGGAAAAGTAAAAATTGCAAAGTCTCAAAACTGACGAACAGAACAATCGAAAAATAAAAAAAAATTCAAAAATATCTAAACATGGAAAATCGAAAAATCGAAAATCGGAAAATGGAAAAACCGAAAAATCGAATATCGAAAACCCGAAAATTCGATGAAACAAATACTCGTAAAAGCGAAAAGTAAAAAAATTGCAGGGCCTAAGAATTGAAAAATCAAAAAATCGAAAAAATGAAAATCGAAAAAACGACGATCGAAAAAAAACAAAAAATCGAAAAGTGGAAAATCGGAAAGTAACAAAATTGAAATCTAAAAGCTGCAAATTGCAGAACCATAAAAACTGAAACAAACAGAAAAGTCGAAAAACCACAAAAACGGAAAAACGAAAATCGAAAAATAGCAAATCGAAAAATCGTAAAATCAGAAAATGAAAAATCGAATAATCGAAAGTTGAAAAATCGAAGGTCGAAAAATAAAACAACCGAAAAATCGAAAAATGTTATGATTAATGGAAAATCGAAAAATCGAGAATAGAATAATTAAAAAACCGGAAAATTGAAAAATCGGAAATCGAAGAATTAAAAACGTAAAATCGAGAATTCAAAAATCAAAAAAATCGAAAAGTAAAATATAATCGAAAAATGCAAAAAAAATTGCAAAGTCCAAAAACTGACGAACAGAAAAATCAAAAAATCTAAAAATGGAAAGACGAAAAATCGAAAATTGATAGAATGGCAAATTAAAAAATCGAAACATCGAAAAATCAAAAAAACGAAAAATTAAAAAATCGAAAAACGAAAAAACTGAAAACTCGAAAAATCAAAATACCGCAAATTTGAAAAATCAGAAAAGAGAAAGTAATAAAATCGAAAAGTTGATAGAAAAATGGAAACTGAAAAATCGAATTCCATGAAACTGTTGGTCGAAAAAACGAAAAATCGAATTTTTCTGTTCTAATTGTAACAGCATACCTTTTTATTTATTTTTTTTCCTTTATTATTACTATTATTACTAAGTTCGCATGTATTTGTATTTTTGTTCCCATAAGGTCGTTAAATGTCTGTGGGAAAATAAACTACCATTATTATTATTATTATTATTATTAAATAGGAAAATTTAAAAAACAAAAATTTTAAAAATCCAACAATTGAACAACAAAAAAAATCTAAGCCTGAAAACTCAGAAAATTGAATGATCGAGAACAAAAAATCTAAAATTAGAGATAGTGAGAAATCTAGAAACCTAAAACTTTAAAAACTGAAAAATTAAAATACCGAAAAATTTAAAAACCGAGAAAACACAATATCAAAAATTTGAAAAATTGAAGAAACGAAATATCGCAAAATTCCAAAGCTGAAATATTGAAAAACCTAAAAATGGAATGAAAATTAAAGAATCGAAACAGTGAAAAAATCCCAAAAAAATTGAGAAATGGAAAAATGGGAAAATCAAAAAAATTGGTCTAAAGAGTTTAGACAGTACTTCCCTCGCTATCGGACACGTGCCTATTATGTTTTTTTTAACATTTGATTTCGAAGCATTCGGTTTTGTAGTTCCTGATTAAATCAATAAAATAAATTTGCGCATTCATTAATTTTTTTGAGTCACCCTGTATATCAGAATCCAAAAAATAGGAATGGATTGATAAATTACAAGTATAGACTCATCATATTTTGTAAATTTTAAATAGGATTATACGGCAAACTTTTGGAGGGAATAAGCAAATATATTTTGACTAAAAATTGATTATGCCACTTTTTGATTTTACGATTTTTGATTTTTCTGTTCGTCAGGTTTTAGGCTCTGCAATTTGTGTACTTTTCGATTTTTCGATTATTTTTTTTCAGTTTTTTGATTTTTGAATTGTCGACTTTTAGAGTTTTCAATATTATGAATTTTCGAATTTTCGGTTTTCCTATTTTTCGATTTTTGATTTTTCCATTTTTCGGTTTTTTGATTTTTCAATTCTCGGTTTTTCAATCTTGCAAATTTTCGATTTTTCAGATTTGTGAATTTCCAGTTTTTCGATCGACCTACGTATTAGATTCATTGAATTTTCGATTTTCGGTTTTTCCATTTTTAGATTTTTGATTTTCCAGTTTTGTATTTTCAGATTTTCTGTTTTTCGCATATCTGATTTATCAAATTTTCGATTTTTCGGCTTTTCGATTTTTCGATATTTGATTTTCGAATTTTCGATTTTTCCATTTTTCAGCTTTTAGACTTCAATTTTTTTACTTTTCGATTTTCCAAATTTTCGAGTTTCAATTTTCAGATTTTTGATTTTTCGATTTTCTTTTTAAATCTTTGAATTTTTCGGTTTTGATTTTTCGAATTTTTGATTTTTAATTTTTCCATTCTTCGGTTTTTAGACTTCAATTTTCTTTCTTTTAAATTTTTCGTTATTCTGTTTTCCCCTTTTCAGAATTTCCGATTTTCAGTTTTCAGACTTTCGATGATTAGAATTTTGGATTTTTCAGTTTTATGATTTTTCGATTTTTAGAAAATTTGAGTAGTCAAATTTTCGATTTTTCAATTCATCGATTTTTTAATGTTCAATTTTTCAATTTAAATTTTGCGATTTTCAATTTGTCCATTGTCGATTTTTAGAATTTTCGGTTTTTCAGTTTTTCTATTCTCAACTGTTAGACTTCAATTTTGTTACTTCCCGATTTGTGGTTTTCGATTTTCCAATTTTGAGAATTTCCAAGTTTCTTTATTCAGATTTTCGATTTTCCACTTTTTCGATTTTAGATTTTTCGAATTTTTGGTTTTCCAATTTTTTGCTTTTTAGATTTTCTGTTCGTTTCAGTTTTTAGGCTTTGCAATTTTTTTCTACTTTACATATTTTGATTATTTTAATTTCCGATTTTTTTTATTTTTGTTTTTGATTTTTTTAATTTTCAATACTACAAATTTTTGACTTTTCGATTTTTTGGTTTTCCCGTTTTTCAATTTTCGATTTTTCGATTTTTGAGGTTTGTGAATTTCCACTTTTCGATCGGCCCAGGTATTTGATTCATTGAATTTTCGATTTTTTGATTAGCCATTTTTAGATTTTCGATTTTTACGATTTGTATTTTTCGATTTTCTGTTTTTTGCATTAGTGAATTTCAGTTTTTCCGATTTTTGATTTTGCGCATATTTGATTAATCAAATTTTCGAAAAAGTTACCATGCTTACAAAAACTTCAAAACATCTACAATATTTCAAAGTATTCAGTTTTGCTATTCTTGATTTCTTCAATAAAATAAATTGACTCAGTCATTAACTTTTTTGAGACACCCTGTATAACCAAATCTAAAAAATATTAATGCAGTGATAAAGCACAAGTATAAAACTCATCATATTTTATACATTTAAGATAGGATTTATTCTGCAAAATTTTGAGGTGACGTCATACATTTTTTAGAGGGGATAAGCAAATATATTTTAATTAAATCATGTTTATCATGACTTTAAAACATCAGCAAGATTTCAAATTATTCGATTTTGTAAATTCAAAATTAAATTGCAAAATATTGTTTCATAATTTTGATTTTTTTTCCCAAATATAATAAAAACTCAACACGGAGTCATAAACTACATGTGTAGGACTATGTTACTGTATACAATTTAAAACCCATTTCCTATGTATAAATTTGAATTGACGTCGTCAGATTATTGGTGGGGATGATTAGACAAATTTAATAAATTTGCGACATTTATGAAAAAAATATCAGTTAACAAAAATGGCACGTTTTTATTATTATGCCAGTTACATGTCACTCAACGACAATACCGTTTTTTTTAAGAGTATTTTATTTGAAAGAGTGATGAAATTTTTTATATTTCTTACCAAATGTAAATTTCGTTGTAGTTTGAGCCTACCTACAAATTCTGCCCTTGAAGGATTTGGACCTCCTTCTTCGGTGAGGGCAGGCAAAAACGATCCGCCCATGTGCGAATTTTCAAACGATTCTATGATGGTTATGACTCAAAAAACTTGAAAGAAAACATACAATGGTGCTTTTTTTACGATATTTCTCAGCCATATTTTTGTATTTGATTGAACTGGTCTCTGCGCTCTAGAATATGAAAAAAGCTGCAGTTTGATGTATGATACATCTATATTAATATCATTTTTTCATACAAAAAACCAAAAAAATGTTATACCTCGTCTAGCGAGTCCCATTAACAGAGCCATTTCGATATTTTGGATTAAATTTTTGAGAGATAAAAGTTAAAAAATAACTTAAATAAGTAGGTTAAATTAATTCCAGTTGTAGCCTTGACAAAGCGGAAGAAGTAACCTTGGAACATCTACAGTTTTTTGTATAAGTCAAACGAATGTAAAAAAATGGAAATTGAATTGAAATTGTGGGTATTTTACCTACTAATTGGTAAATTTTTTCCAATCCTAACCAGAACTCTCCTGCGATATGGCCAAATCCGGCTTTGTAGCTGTCCCAGTTTTTGGAAAAATTTTGTGATCCGTCGTATCTATTCAAAATGTAAGTCCAGCCTCCTTCATCAATGTCCATGTCGCACAAAACTACGAAGGGTTCAGGAGCAAGCTCGGGTCTAATTATGACATGACTGCTATTTGTGCGATTCCAGGATTTGGCCTCATAGCAGCTTTTTGGATAGCGACCAGGTGTTTGCTTAAGTGATAAATCAAGTCACACAGTGTTTCATATTTTAGGAAAATGGTACTTACAGCATGTGCCAAACTTAAAAAACAAACAACAAAAAGAACTAGAGATAACATTGTGAAACACGTGTGCGTCTGGGCACTGGTACTACTTTGAACAGACTAATGATAGATTCGAAGTGGAATCTAGTCGTTGTCATTGCTGTTAGGCAGCGGAACACCGACGTACAACACGTTACAGCCGCACCATATTTAGGGAGGTACGACGAACAGTGACGGCAAAAAATTCTAAATACAGACAAAAATTAACGATTACTGAAGTGAAATCGTTCGTCTTTTGATAGTCACACTGAAAACGAGCTAGAAAAAATTTCTGTTTTTCTTCAACTCAGATTTTACAAACTGAATCCTGGTGTTAAACATAAGAGGATTTGTAGAATTTTGCCTCGTTTGCTTGAAACTTAACAGTTTCATGGTTCGGTTTTCCATGACTGGTAATTAATGATGTCATCTCAAAATTTTCTCTAATGAGCAACATAATCCTGTACTTGTGGTTTATGAATACGTGTTGAATTTTTATTCTCTACATCGAGATTTTTGGAAAACATCTAAACTGTAGATGAATTTTTTTATTGTTGCAATTTTCAAGTCTCAATTTTTCGGTTTGTCGACCTTTTCGATTTTTGGAATTTTTTCAGTATTCTATAATTTCAGCTTTTAAAATTTTTGATTTTTCGGTTTTACGGTTTTTAAATATTTCGATTTTAAAATTTTTCAAAATGCATTTCTCAATTTCTCAATTTTGGGGATTTTTCAATATTTTTATTTATCCATTTTCAATTTTTCGAATTTTTAAATTTAAAATTTTTCAAATTTTTAATGTTTCGGTTTCAGATCTTTCAGTGTTTCAATTTTTCAATTTTTCGATTCGTCGATTTATCGATTTTTTATTTTGAATTTTTCAATTTTTCACTTATCTTTACGATTGTTCGATTTTGGCCATTTCGATTTACCAATTTTTCGAATTTTCGACTTTGCGATTTTTCGATTTCCGGATCTTTTAATGTTTCGATTTTTGAATTTTTCAATGTCTCGATTTTTCGAATTTTCCAATTTTTCGACATTTCAATAAAATTGTGATTTCCGGTTTTTCGATTTTTTATTTTTTTGATTCATGAATTATCGATTTTCTTAATTCTGAATTTCTCAATTTTTCGATTTTTCGAATTTGTCCATCTCGATTTCTCAATTTTTCGACTTTCCGACTTCTAGAATTTTGATTTACCCAGTTTTCAAATTCAAAATTTTTCAATTTTGAAATTTGTTTACTTTTCATTTTGGCCATTTCGATTTCTCAATTTTTCCATTTCCGATTATCGGATTTTCGATTTTCCGATGTCTCAATTTTTCAACAGATCAGTTTTGGGAATTTTTCAATTTCTCAATTTTTCATCAGTTTTTCGATTATCCTATTTTCCGATTTTTCAGTTTTAGCTAATTTTTGAATGTGGGATTTTCGACTTTTTCGATTTTTTGATATTCTCCAAATGAATTTATTGCTGGCGTTAAATTAGCATTATATTAAAAAATTTTTGGGTAAGTTTACTATTAGTTATTATTATGTCCTATGTGGGCGATTTGCCCGTTGGATGATCAATAAACCAATTATTTATTTATTTATTTATTTATTTATTACGAGCTATTGATGTTTCGATTTCTTGACATCACAGGTTTTCAAAATTTTTGTCTTTGCGACTTTTGGATTTCTCGATTTTACGAGTTTCCGATTTCTCAATTTTTCAATATTTCAATTTTGAGAATTTTTCAATTTTTGTATTTTTCAATTTTTCCATATTTCACTGTTCGGATTTCCCAATCTTTAGATGTATTGATTATAAAGTTTTTCAATCATTAGTCTCTTCAATTCTATAATTTTCCAATTTTTGGCGCCTAAATTTTCATGGATTTCTCAATTTTTCCGTAAATCGATGTTTTTATTTTCCCATTTCTCGATTTTTCGACTTTCTAATGTTCCGAATTTTGAGGTTTTCGATTCTTCATTTGTTCGATTTTTTAAAATTGTGGTTTTTAATTTCTCAATTTTTTGATGTTTCGGTTTCTCGATTTTTCATTTTTTCAGTAATTTGTTTTTTAATTTTTCGTTTCTTCAACTTTCCGGTTTTTCGATTTTTTAATTTTTCGATTCATGAATTTGTCGATTTTTTTAATTCTGAATTTTTCAATTTTTCGATTAATATTTCGATTTCTCCATTTTTCGACTGCTGGAATTTTGATTTACCGATTTTTCAAATTCAAAATATTTCGATTTATCGGATTTTCGATTTTCAGATGTCTCAATTTTTCAACAGATCAATTTTGGGAATTTTTCAATGTTTCGATTTTTCGATTTTTCAGATTTTCGATTTTTCTGCTTTTTAGCTTTTCAGTTTGTCGATTTTCCAATTTTTCGACATTTCAATTTTGCAACTTTTCAATTTCTCGGTTTTTCATCAGTTTTTCGATTATTATTCGATTTTTCAGTTTTTACTAATTTTTGAATGTTGGATTTTCGACTTTTCGATTTTCAATTTTTCGATTTTTCGATAATACGAGCTTTTGATATTTCCATTTCTTGACATCTTAGGTTTTCAAAACTTTTCGTGTTTGCGACTCTTGGATTTCTCGATTTTTCGGGTTTCCGATTTATCAATTTTTCAACATTTCAGTTTTGAGAATTTTCCAATATTTCCATATTTTTCTGTTGGGATTTCCCAATTTTTAGATGTCTTAATTTTAAAGTTTTTCAATCCTTAGTCTCTTCAATTTTTTAATTTCCGATTTTTGGCGTCTAAATTTGCATCGATCTCTCAACTTCCGGATCAATCTATTTTTTTTATTTTCCCATTTCTCGATTTTTCGACTTTCTAATGTTTCGAATTTTTTGGTCTTCGATTCTTCAAGTGTTCGATTTTTTAAAATTGCGATTTTTGATTTCTCAATTTTTGATTTTTCGATTTTTCAGTAATTTATTTTTCAATTTTTCCAATTTTTAAATTTTAAATTTTTTGATTCATGTATTATCGATTTTTTTAATTCTGAATTTATCAAGTTTTCGATTAATTTTTCCACTTTTCGAATTTGTTCATTTCGCTTTCTCAATTTTTCGATTTTTCGACTTCTGAAATTTTGATGATTTACCGAGTTTTTACGAAATTTCAGTTTTGAATTTTTTTTTACTTTTCATTTTGGCCATTTCGGTTTCTCAATTTTTCCATTTTCGATATCTCTGATTTAATTTTCGATTTTTCAATGTCCCAATTTTTCGTCAAAAAACAGAAAATCGAAAAATACAAATCGTAAAAATCAAAAATCTAAAAATGACTAATCAAAAAATCGAAAATTCAATGAATCAAATACCTAGGTCGATCGAAAAGTGGAAATTCACAAATCTCAAAAATCGAAAAATCGAAAATTGAAAAAAGGGAAAACCAAAAAATCGAAAAGTCAAAAATTTGTAATATTGAAAATTAAAAAAATCAAAAACAAAAATAAAAAATAATGGGAAATTAAAATAATCAAAATATATAAAGTAAAAAAAATTGCAAAGCCTAAAAACTGAAACGAACAGAAAAATCGAAAAAGCAAAAAATTGGAAAAACAAAAATTCAAAAAATCTAATATCGAAAAAGTGGAAAATGGAAAATCTGAATAATAAAGAAACTTGGAAATTCTGAAAATTGGAAAATCGAAAACCAAAAAATCGGAAAGTAACAAAATTGAAATCTAACAGTTGAGAATGGAAAAATTGAAAAACCGAAAATTCTAAAAATCGACAATGGACAAATTGAAAATTGCAAAATTTAAATTGAAAAATTGAACATAGAAAAATCGATGAATTGAAAAATCGAAAATTCGACTACTCAAATTTTCTAAAAATCGAAAAATCATAAAACTGAAAAATCCAAAATTCTAATCATCGAAAGTCTGAAAACTGAAAATCGAAAATTATGAAAAGCGGAAAATAGAATATCGAAAAATTTAAAAGAAAGAAAATTGAAGTCTAAAAACCGAAGAATGGAAAAATTAAAAATCAAAAATTCGAAAAATCAAAACCGAAAAATTCGAAGATTTAAAAAGAAAATCGAAAAATCAAAAATCTGAAAATTGAAACTCGAAAATTTGGAAAATCGAAAAGTAAAAAAATTGATGTCCAAAAGCTGAAAAATGAAAAACTGAACAATCGAAAATTCGAAAATCAAATATCGAAAAATCGAAAAGCCGAAAAATCGAAAATTTGATAAATCAGATATGCGAAAAACAGAAAATCTGAAAATACAAAACTGGAAAATCAAAAATCTAAAAATGGAAAAACCGAAAATCGAAAATTCAATGAATCTAATACCATTGTTTAAGTATATTATAGTTGGACAACCTAATACAAATTTTACTTCGCCTAAATAGTGAGCTTTAGGACAAGGAATCCAGGGGGCGTGGGACAAATTTTTCGTCAACGCGCATTTTCACTACAGTGAGCCAACGTATTAGGTTTATTTTACTCTAAATCAGATGGCGCCATCAAACATTAGCAAAGGCAAACACCCTTTACTCTACTCTTATACGAGGAGTTATCCATAAATCCATAATTAACATTGTTCCGTAAACAGTAATGTATATAAACATATATGTACAAAATATGAAAATATACTTGACATAAAAAATATGAAGCAACGCGTTGTAACGTGATAAGAAAGAATTGAATTTAATTGAATTTGACGCATATTTTTATTTGACTATATCTGAAGACTGACAGAAACTTTCCAAGGGTTTTTAAACTGGTATAATTGTTTAGTTTTACAAGATTAAAGTAAAATAAGATTTTAAGTAAAATTTAGATTCGTGGTGTTACAAAAATATTAACACAAAATGAAAATATATGTTCGAAGTAAATAACAGAATGACATAAACTTTCGGCGTTAACATTACAAATAATTACAAGAGAGAAAAAAACGCATAAACAACTTAAGCGGCATGTTTGTAATATCGAGTTGTTAAAGGCTGCTTTGAAGACTGTTTGTTTCT